TTAACAATACTCAATCACTGAACTACATGCTTACTCGTATTTTAAAAATTAATCTACCCATGTATACCTAGTAGCCAATGTTACTAAAGCCTTAATGTCATCGGGAACTTTCTCTATAGGTATTCTGGGACTACTTTTATGAATTTGCTTGATCTTTATATCTTTCGCTCTCTAGCTAACACTTAAATGAATAATAAGTTGGCAAACAATGATTTATATACATTAGGAAGAAATTTATTTTGGGGGAACATTCTACATATTTCGACAGAACAATGGTGAGAAGAAGACATACCAATGTTCTGTTGAAAGGTGCAGCATTTTCTCCCAAAATATAAATCACCTTATTATGCTTATAAATCGTCGTTTGCCAACTTTTTAGTATAATCTATTTCTATACTCTAGTAACATTTGCCCCAAGTGGCACAGTGGTAACTCTGCGGACTTATAACATTAAAAACCGATTTCAGATATCCGTGGTGAGCACAACACAGATAGCCCGTTATGTTACTTTGTGTTTAGCTACAAACAAAGAAACAAGTAACACTTAAATCAATACGTTAAAAATATAGTTTACAACAGAATGTACCTTTCCAACTCCCAGAAAACTTTACATGACTTTCGGCGAGGGAAGTGATTGGTTACGAAATGGGTTGACTAGGCTATTTATCATTCAGTGGAGTGTTATATGACTTTAGGCATGGGAAATGACTGCTCATGATATTGGTTTTCCAACCTAATCTGGCCTTATAAGTTTCAATTTCATAATTTACCTCACTGAGATGTGAATAAAACCTGACTGCTGAACCAAAAATTATAAAGGTTTTTGTTTAACAAAAACTCACCCTAAGACTTTGAGTGTTATAGCCCAACCTGATCTGATGTAATTGAAATGGTATCATACAAAATTATCCTTCCTAGAAAACAATATCCATTTGAAATGGATAAGGTTGACATTTTTAAACAACATATTTGGATATTTTATTTGTTGTTGTTTCTTCCAAGTCCTCTAATTGTCCAATTAAACCAGCAACCTTTCGCCTTTTCCTTTATTTTTAATGTCAGTTCTCTTTTCGTAAGAAAATGTATTATTCTTATATTTCTTCCCATGTCTTTTGTTTATTATCGTACAGCATGTCGTTTTAGGCGCAGGAGTTTAGGATAATTTGAATATGATTTTTTATTATTAATTTTTTCAAACATGATTGCATCATAGGCCACCTGCCGGAGTTATGAAATATTTATATGAAAACGGGAGTTTCATGTAAAAAGCGTAACGTATATATCTTTTTTTTGGTTTTATAAATAATAATACTACGAGTTTAAGTCAAAAGGGTAACGATTTTAATGTTAATTAAAAAGTCTTATAATAATTGAAATTCACTGACATATATACACATATAGGTTTGTCTGCTTTCAATCACCTTACTAATTACTAGCAGTACTACTAGTAATATTATTTTAGCGACTGTAATCAGTTATGTAACTATATACAGGTAGGTTCCTTTGGAAATGGAATTGGTTGCCTTCAGACGTGATGGACTCAATAAATTTAAGGGAAGGCTTGATAAATACTTGCATGATAAGGGCTGGGTTTGACTTTGAGTATATTATTGTAATTTCTAAAGTTTAATTTAGTGTTTGGAACAGCCAAGAAGTACTAACAGGACCCTTGCTCTTAAAGTTTGTTATATTATAATATTAATTGAGCTCCATATTAATACTAATAATTTGGCGGTATTTAAATTCTTATACAAATTCAAATACAAGTTATGCAACTATTTTTATAGATTATGTGAGTAAAATAGAAAGTAGAATTATTATTTTTTGAAGGATTTAACTTGAAGTCTAGTTACATTTAAAAACAAAAAAAGGTAGGACTAAAATTATACTACTGTTTGTATTACTAGCAGTACTTATAGTAGTCACTGTTCAGTAATATTGTTACTGAATAGTGACTACTACTAGGCTTACTACGAGTAAGTAGTAGTACAAACATCGTGTTATAATATTTGTGTTTTTAATTAAAACATTATTTAAGTTTGACATACAAAATAATTAATATTACTATATTATAAATAGTAAGTAATATAAATTATTGGTATTGAATTCTAACTTTTATATGCATATGTCTCTTAGATCATTGTAACAAATGAGTACAGAATTTCCTCAGTTAGTCCCAAGGAAGGAAGATCTTGCATCCCAAGTGAAGTTTGGCTGACATGTAACTTGTAGACTCATGAATAGAAGTTTTAATGGCTAGAGAAAATTCAGATAAATGATTATCCCAAGTTCAGTGTTTCTTTTCAATATAAGCAGATATCATTCCACCAATATTTTTATTTAATGTTTCAGTAATGTTAGACTGAGGATATGGAGTTATAAAGATGTGTTTAATTCCCATAGATTTACAAGTGTCATCCATCAAATGTGACACCAATTGTGGGCCATTATCAGATACAAGAGACTTTGGAATACCATATCTACACAAGTATTCATTAATTAGTTTTTTCTCAATCATCTTCACAGTTATTTGTTTGAGAGGATATAATTCAACCCATTTACTGAAATAATCTCTCACAATCAACAAATAACTATTTTTCTGTACTAAAGATAAGGTCCCATGATGTCTACTCCTATTATCTCACCAAGTTCCATTAGTTTAGTGCTTTGCATAAATCCAGCTGGCCTCTTCTGATCAAATTTAGTGGTCTAACAAACTCGGCACGATGACACATAATTTCTAATGTCGTTTTTCATTCCAGGCCATTAACCACACCTGGATACTTAGTTTATTGTTTTTTGGACACCTAGATGGCCAGCTGAAAGATGATCATGCAATCCAATTAACATTGCCAGTCTCCATGTTTGGAGAACAAATGGTCTGAATTCTCCATTGCTAGCAACCCTTTTTCTGTGGTAAAGAACATTATCATTCAAGACATAGTCTTTGGATATACTTACAGCCTCTACAATTATAGTAGAATTATCTGGTAATAGTCCAGTTTTCAAATAAGAGTATATATATATATATATATATCATTTTGAGCTTGTTCAGTAGCCAGTTGTTCTCCATTCTTAACACTGACAATGATAAAAAGTTTAGGTGATAGCTTACTGACTACCAATTCTGGAGTCTCTTCTAGGGGGCCAGTTGGATGTCTAGTTAAGGCATCAGGTAACTGGTTCACTTTTCCTTTTCTGTGAAATATTTCAAACATTAAGTCATGTAATTGTAACAGACATCTCGAGTTAACTTTGGAGATGTCTGTAACCATTTCAAGGCAGCGTGGTCAGTTATAACTGTAAATTCTAATCTATCTAGGTATATCTTAAATTTTTCTATAGCCCAGACTAACACTGTAGTAGTATAGTTTCTATCTGCAGAGTTCAGTGTTCTACTGGTATGTGCTGTGACATCTTTCTTACACAGAACTGCTTCTGATTCAACATTTGATGTATCAATATGCAAAAAACAGTGTTCACCTTTTCTTGGAAGTTGCAAGACAGGGGATTCACATAAAGCCTGCTTTAATTTCTGGAATGTATCCTCACACTGGGGGTCTATTTCTAAACTGATATGCTTCCTTCATGACTGATATAAAAGTTGAGCAATTGCAGCAAAGTTTCAAATGAACTGATTGTACCAGGCACACATACCCAAAAGTTTCTTGGAGTTTGAAAGAGTGTAATAGCTTTCACTTTGTCATCATTTGTATGTATTCCCTCAAAATAGAGTTTAAGTCTTAAATATGATACTTCTAGTTGGTAAAATTTGCTTTAGAAACTTTTACAGTAAGAATAGCTGTATGCAGCTTGTAGAAAACCAATTAAAGGTCAAGTGTTGTTCAAATGTGAGTGAAAAACTATAATGTTATCACTATAAGTCTTGGAACATTCAATTGATCCTGCTAAAAAGTTTATTGTTCTGGCAATGCTTATACTGTTTTGTAATTTTTAGCATGTCAGCAATAGATATAACAAAGTGTCATTCCAAGTATTCTCTTAAAGAAATGTACAATTGAGATATTATACACTTCACAATTTCTCTTTCTATAGATTCAGGGTTCCATAATTTATAATTGTTCCCATTTTTCCAAATAAACATCTCAACTGACTTTCCAACATTAGTGTGGTACTTCCTACTAAAGAGTTCCTTAGCCAATTTGATATTATCTAATACTGCTGGTACAATTTAGTCAATGTAAATTCGCCTCAGTATTCAAAAGCCATTTCTGATCCAGCCCTTCCTTCAACAAGAAGCATCAGTTTCCACCCATTTATTCTCAGGAACTTGATACATGTAAAGGTATCTTTCTACACTTTAAAGAAACTCCAAGACATTAAAATCCAACTTACCACCAAACTTCTCAACAAACAGGAGTGGTGGGTTAACTGCTGTGATGTAAATTTTCCACAGGTTTGAAGGTAGAATGGACTCTCAACATTTGAGGTTGAGGGGAGATGTGTATAACAGAACCAAATTTTTGTCTTATCTTTCCACTCTATGGAATATCTTGGTAAAATTGAGTCAACCTTCGAGCTGTTGATTATGAAGTAATGTTAAATTTCTTACAAACTGAGTTGTGATGTTAACCAGAATAATGAGATTGAACATAAAGTGAAATGTAAAATGAACAATCTTTATTTTCACAATAAAACAGAAACACAGTATGTGTTTTTTCTGTAACTTATACAGGATGATTGGTTTTATTGGATACTCTACATTTAATTGTTGAAGCTGAATCCATGTATAAGACCTACCTTAACTTGTAAAAACCTTCACATTTATCCAGAGCAACTTGCACTATCCATGGGGCTGGTCATTCTCATTACAACATAGGTGAAGTTGTAACCTCGACATATCACCTGAACTACCATTGAAGGACATTGTTGTTGAACATCCTTGCACAATGTGCAGTATGTTATAGCAATACCTTCCATGAAGAACAAGTATTATCTATTCAAGAATAACAAAGAAACAAAGATAGCTAGAACAAAATCAACTTAATGGATTTCACAATCATGTGTTATGTGAAACCTGCATATAAACAGAGAATAATTTCAGAATATTACAAGAAGATGAAAACAAATTTGTATGTTCATATATCATATACCTTAATTTTATTTCATAATTTAAAGGGTTTATTGTTTGGAAATGACAACAGTTAACACTTCCAAAAAGTAGAAAACATGTGAGAATAATAATTTGTTAAATATTTATCATTTTTACTGGATTTTCTTTTTCAGTTAAAAAATGTGGTAATTTTTCTTCTTTTGTTCCTGCAGTACATGGAGCATAGCAAAGAAGATGCACCAAGCCCCTCCTGGCTTCCTTCTTTTCGTACTTCACCTCAAGACTCAGACAAACCTATAACCTATGCTGACCTTGGAATTTCTGTAAAACACAAAACTCAACAGACGGTTTTGGGAACAGTAAGTAAATGTAAAGCTGTGTATAACTTAAATTTTGCAGATATTGTAAAGTATTCAAGGTTTTGTGAAGCTTTGTTTAGTGTGAATTTTATAAGGCCATATGCACTGAAGATTTTTTAAAGACGTGTATCTTGTGGCTTACAGAACAAAATCATGTTAAACAGTTAAACTTCCAGTTTTTGTAATTTGGGTAGTAGGAAATGACTTCATGTGTAGTGTCATCTAGTTAGTGATGGAGTAAAGTATCACTGCATTTTCCCACTGGTAGTCAAGCTTAGTGAGGGAAATGTTGCATGTTAGCTACAGTAATCAAGGTTTGTCATTTTATGGCACTCATTTATTATTGTTACCTCATGTTCCATAACTTTGTACAGTTCAAAGAATAAAATCATTGATAACCACCTCAGAAGAACAAGTACAAGGATGTAAGTCTCTATTACGTCATGTTTAAAAGTTTCTGTGAGTAATAATGACAAGGAAATGTCAGAAGGGAATGTAAAAACATAATTGAAGGAAAACAGTTTATTTGTAGTATAAACATTGGTAAGAATTCATGAGTTTTCTAGAGTTTGGTTGTCAATTCACTGGATTCCCCAGTTTCCTTACTCAGAATCACTCTTCACTCTCAAGGGTTTTTTTAATTTGGAACAGTACTAAGATACAAGTTCCTCTGCTGCCATCTCATCCAGAGATTCAACTCTTCACGAATACCTCGCTTCAAGGATGGGGTGCATATCCCAACAGTCAGGAATTCCAGGGTCTATGCACGGATGACGAAGCTTACCTACACAATGTTTTAGTCTTCCTTGCTTTTAAAAAGGAGATGCCTCATGGTCTGGGTTTATTAGGGTTCATTCCAACAATTCCATGGTGGTGTCTTGCATTTCCTGTCAAGGGGGCAAGTGGTCCAGGACTTCTTTTTTTCAAACCTTGGGTCTCCTTTCTCGGGACCACTCCCATCATATCACCCTTCTAGCTTGCCATGTTCCACAGGTGATGTCTGCAGTAGCAGATCAATCGTCTCTACCCAAGCAGAAAAGATGCTACATCACAAGGTTTTCTATTGGATTAGCTCTCATTTTGAAACACTGATGATTGGTGGGTTGGCCACTCATTGGAGCACCCAACTACTGGCAATTTGGTCTCCAACACCTCACCTTCAGACTTTGGCAATGAATGCATTCTATTGGACAAGATGGGATTACGACTGTAGGACTTCCCTCCCAGTCATAAGTTATCCCTGGTACTAACTATGATTTGTTCCAAGCAATTGTTGGGTCCTGTTGATAACACTGAATTGGCAGTTAGTCCTTGGTTTCTGCTTCTGTGGTTCCTTCTGCTCACCTTTTCCAATTCCTCTTTGGCCTTCTTTGTGGAGGCAGCTACGATCTGACAGTATACCCAGCTATCCAGAAGCTCAAGCTTCAGGCATGGGGTTATGCAGTTCTTTGTAAAGCATCTGTGTTTAATTTCTAGGGTTGACAAGTATCTGTCTTGGGCTTTGCTTAGTCCTGCAGTGGACATTTATCAACATAAATTGCACACATTTTGGAAATGGTGTATGAAGAGGAGGTTGAACCCACTTCAATCAGAAGTGACAAGCATAACTCGTTTTTGACCTACCTCTTTGCCAAGGGTTTTGCATCTTTTACAATCACCCTGTATAAGGCAGCCTTATCGACTATCCACTCTTGCAGAAGGGGGCAAAGTTGGGGACCCTCCTATCCAGGTCCTTGGATGTTTTCTCCCAGATGTTGGTAGGAGTTGCATCAGCATACACAGGAGCCTACTTGTAGTACGGGTTCATATTTGATGCTTGGCTATCTGGTTGGGTTGAGCGTGGTACTTCTTTTTGATCAATATTGATTCAGTACATTGGAAGAGGGTCCATTGTCTCCTCGTAATTCTGAACACAGAGTGGTCCCATCCAGAGTCCTTGGTTGAGCACAGTTTATTCCACGTCTTCCCCATAATTCCAAGGGCAAGTGGACTTTACCTTGCCTACACGATTGGGGAGTGAGGATGAATGTTCATAATTCCAGACTGGATGAGTTCTGTTTCCTCAGGTTGAGTAAGGTATACAATGTCCCACCATTTAGAGCCTGAGGTGTTGCCTTTTGGACTTCTTCAGGTTGAGGAAAATGTTTGTACACTTCGGTGTTGCTCACCTTCTCATTGTGATTCCGTTGGCTCGGAATGTGTCACTCTATAGCTACAGGTTGGGATCCACTCAAAAGTATATATATGTTTTGCAGTCCAATTGCCCTCGCCACCAATGTGAGATTTAGGGATCATGGCCATATAATCCAACCCTGAGCAGTGGAACCTCAGCTATTTATATGCAGCCTAGCCAATACTGATGATAAGTCTTGTAAAGTTCCACCTACAGTACATGAATTAAGTTACGGGTGAAGAGTATATCTGTTCTGGATGTAGTGCGGTTCCCCCAATAGGGTGCCAATCTTCTATTGACACACGCATGATATATACAGATTCTTTCTGTATGGATAATTCCCTCACCAGCCTCTTCACCTTTTAGTTGTGGGATTCTAGCTGTAGTGTGAGAGGAGATAAGTGTGCATTGGAAGTTAACATTTTCTTATATCAAAAATGTATTTCTAATAATACTTACCTCAACTCACACTCTCTTGCAAAAAAGTGATAACATTATCTAAATGAGGTGCTTATATACAGTCCAGGATAGAGGGTGCATATACGTAAGTGGAGAGTGTCAAGTGACAAATATTGCCAACACAATTAACCCTTTTACGACAGGCTTGGTATAAAATACATGAGTTTGTATATACATTTGCACATGTTAAATATTTATACTATAATTTTAATGCTGTATGTATATCTTCACAAAATTTAGTAGACTTATTTAGTAGTAGTTTTAACTTTTGTGTGTTCGTAGTTTTGGATAACTGTATGTAGTTTTATGTATATGATGTATGTGAACATAATTTATATGCAACAACTGTGGGTGGATATTTACAATATTTTTCATTTTTCACATGATTAATATGGCTACTGAACTTGATAAATTCAATAATAATGGTGACTAGTAAAATTTGCTAATTGATTAATCATCAGGCTCATTATTGATGATATTCAACTAACTGATTATTCTCATAAAACTAGGATAGTTGGAATAATTGGAAACTATTTCTTTTAGTTTAGTTTCTTAGAGTTGTGACATTAATCGATTAATCTAAACAACCGTAAAGTAATTAAAAATCATAATGATGTATTTCAATTATTTGTTTAATTAGAATAATCAAAAACAGTAACAATTGGAAATATTAATTTCAATTAGTTGATTATTTTCATGACATTAATTGGCTTAAAAGCAATTTCAGTGAAGAAATTATGTAATTGATGCTCATGGGTAATGGATTATATCAATTAAACAAGTTAAACATTAGAAGCTAGCATGTAGGAGGTACTGTCACTGTAAATCATTTGTATTTCATAACATTTTGTTATTTTAAAGATCTTATTCAGCATAAACTCTTAAGTTAATTAAAACATATTTGTGATCCTTGCTAGCTTTAGTCTAGATCGCCACTGTTTTTAAAGAGATGTAGTTTTACTGTAACCATATGTTCTATTTAATGTTTTTATAGTATATTTCTATGTTGTTATAACAATTCTTATTCTGACAAATGGCTTATATAAATACCATTCAAACCATTACCATGTCTATTGTACTTCTGCCAGCCTTATGAGCTCTGGTTGTAAAAGAAAGGTGTCATTAGCAATGGACACAGCAGACACGTTGTAGTTGAAATATTATTAAATACTCTTCTTCTTGGAAACACTTTAAAGGACTAAATAAAGAATGTAGTGTTTGATAATATAGTAAGCCTAATAGTTTTTATGATCTTATGACAAAGATCGCTGATTATCTTTGTTTATTTTAAACCCTTTTTTGTCTGTTAAAGTAATGTTCTCATGAATAGTACCTATTTATATATGTGTGTATATATATATTTGTAATACATATCCTGAAAAAAACATGTAATACTAAAAAGTTTGAATATAGCTCAATGAATAACATAATAGCAATTAATGAATTTTGTTTTATTTGAGTACACTGTACATGTTTTGCATAAATGATGTTAGGATACATCATTCTCATTTTAAATGATGGTTTGAAAGCATACAAATTCTGTTCATTACCAGTTTTTCATCAATTGAATTAAGTTTGATAAGAGTTCCATATTATATAGATTAATGTGTTGGTTCTGTTACTTTGTTACTGTATGTAATAAATGAAATATTTAATTAGATTTTTTTTAAATCAGACAAGAACATGGAACAGTCTTTCAAGATGGGAATGGTCATATCTTGTGGTGTCTCTACTCGGTCTCTCTGCATCTTTGGGTGTGACAATTGAAAGACTAGTGGTTTTAAAGAAGAACTCTGATGACTATACCTTTGCCATGGTCTTGTTTCTAACTCTAGGCAAGTTTCCACGACTTCATTGTTTTTCAAACAAAACTACACATTTCGAATTAAAATTGTTCTATGTATAAATAAAATGTGATAGCTTATAAGAATTTTAGAAACAAGTTATACTCAATAGACAAATATTAATTATCAGCAGTGGATAATCCTTTTATCAGTGCATGTAGAAAAACAAAAATATTACTTTCACATTATAAAACATTTATAGATGTTAAAACTGATTGGATGCACCCAAAGTAATAATTTGAATAATTAGGATAAAAAAACAAATTTTCCAAGTATTCAGGGTAGAGATCGTACTGAAGATGATTGATTACCATTAATTACTTTTAGATAATTTTTATTGGCAGAAGGTTGAAAAAAATTTTCTTTATTTGAACCATCATAGGAAATAGTGTGATGTGTTTCCTTGCATATTCAGTTTGGGGTCATACTTAGCTATACTTATGTTAATTGATTATGTTTCAAAGTGACATCATGGTAGAAAATTAAGAAAATGATTTTAAACTTGTTCCATTCTCTAAACTTCATGTTCTTTTGGGTATTGTTCTATTATCTATGTATTTAAAGCAAGGCTAATTATTATTTATACATGAAAACAAAATATATTTGTATTCTGTAATTTATTGTGTAAGCCATTTGTGTTAGAAGTTAATTGAATAAAAACTAATAGCCATTCTTAATTTTATTTCTTAACTCTTTCACAGCATGGGCTTGGTCCCACAAACTGACCTCATAACCAGTTTGTGCTTATTACAGTTTTTATGCTATAACTTTTAAATTATTAAGCAAATCTTCACAAAATTTTGCAGATGATCAGTAAACATTACAAGGCTTTCGTACACAAAATATCAGATTTTTAAATAACGTTTTTCTCATGCCTTTTTTCTTTTCAAGTGTTGAATATTCAACATACAAAGTAATTTTGATTTTAAGGTTAAAAATACTTTTATGCATCAGAAAATTTTCAAATTCTACATGTGAAATGTTTATAACCTCTAGATAATTATCAAACATTGTTTAAATTTAATTTTGTCTGTTATTTTCGCTACTGAATCTCTGTATGAGATCGGTCGATTTGACTGACCTTGTAACCACCATAAAAAATTAAGAAATAAATATAAATTATGCATTTTTTTCATTCCAGAATGACTACAGATTATTACATGAAAACACAAATGTTTAGTCTAAATAGCTTAAATCTCATAAAGTTATACATTCTATACATTTATTATTTTCATTATATTGACCTTTCAGCTATGCTTAGCTAACATTACAGAAGTTGTAATGAAGTGGTGCACATGCACCCATGTTACCATATCCAAGAATATAAAATTTGTACTCACTTGTTGCGTGCCATGGTTTCCCAAACCGTAACAAATTTTGCACATGGAGGATGTGAAACAAAATAAATTTTTTTAGTTTTTGTATATACATTTTGAAATAACCAAAAATCATAAATTACTATATCAATATCACAGAATTCCATTATAATTTATCAAGCTTAGAAACTTAAGTTGTATTTGTGTAAAAAAAAATATGAAATTTCAACCTCACTAATGTCTTACCTTAATGCTTGGAAGCTAGCATGAAAAGAATGAGTTTGCTGCCCAAATACTTCAAAGAGGCTGAGAAAGTCATTCGGGGGACACTCTGAGCTTTCGATTGGTTATATAATTGGGCCATTCAACAAACCATGTGACACACAAAAATCAATATTTTTATCCATATATTTTTTAATATTTATTTTTAAATTAAGAAATTAACTAATGTATAATACTAAAATTTGAATCATAATCTACAATTTGATACCAAACTTATTGACATAAATTCAAAAATAGTAGTTCAATGAGATTTTGAATGCAAGTTAATAAATGCAATGATATGACCTTCGACCCGTGACCCATGTCAATAGGGTTAAAGATATCGTGAAAAATTTCATAATGATTTGAATTTTGGTGACCTGATGTAAATTTAGATGGCCTAGAACTAGTGTAAAACAGTAATTATTAATTATGTGGAACCCTTAGACTAAAAATAATATTTATAATTTTCATTACATTATAGTTCTGTGTTATAGTGTTTATAATTTTCATTACATTATAGTTCTGTGTTATAGTATTTATAATTTTCATTACATTATAGTTGTGTGTTAGTGTTTATAATTTTCATTACATTATAGTTGTGTGTTATAGTGTTTATAATTTTCAGTACATTATTGTTCTGTATTAAATGAGCAAATCAAGTTATATTTCATGTTTAGATCTTTAAAATACACCATATATATAACAAAATGAAAGAATAGCATGAGAACATTTTAAATCAAGTGTACCTTTCTTTTTTAGATGTTTATAAATTTGCATAAAGTTTTAACATCTTTAAAACAATGTGGAATATCAAGAACTATGAGTAACATACGTGTGTATAATTTTCAACAGTTAATGATTTAAGTTTTTTTTGTTTTTTTTTGCAGTATTTTGTTTTTACTATGTTATCCATGGTGTCTTCAAGGAACGTCCATATGAACTTGGTGTTTTTATCATTAGTAATTTTGTGGTGTTGATCTACTGCATCATCAACTATAGTTCATGTGTTAACGCAGAGAGCACAAACTCAGAAAGCTGTACACAAGACATAAAATCCATGAAACTAGTAAGTTCAATATATGTTAACAGAATAAGGAGTATGTAAACATCAACAATAATAGGCCCACAAGAAACACTGCAAGCACACCATAATCATGTGGAATATCTGGGAAGTTTTTCATAAACATAAAATGTGTTTTCTTCTAGTACAACTATATTTGAAATACAATAATAAATTAGTGATGAAATTACAACACAAATTGAAATTTAATTTTTGGTAAAAAGTAGCACATTCACCCCAAAATTATTATTAGTTTTTGGTAAAATGATGATAAAGCTATAAGAAGTCTTAATTATGGAAATTGCATAATAATGCATTCATATTGAAATGCCCTCAGTGGCTCAGTTGTAAGACTGAAGGCTTATAACACTAAAAACCAGGTTTCAATACCTCTGGTCGGCACAGCACAGCTAGCCAATTAATGACCATAAAATACTTTTCCTCTCTACCCACCATGATAGTGAAGTGATAAGTTTGAGGGCTTGTAATTCTAAAATTTGGGGTTTGATTCTTTCAGTGATAACCTGCTAAGTAGCTTTGGCCTTAAACTGAATAAAAACTATAACCCAAGTGCTTTTGAAAGCGCTCAGGTTACAGGATTTTTATTCATTTATGTCAAAACTTCTTGAACCCATGTGTTTTTCTAACATCATGAATATGTCCGTGAAGTCATTTTGAATCATGATACTACATTTTTAATATGTCATATCTTTAATACCATGCATTTTGGGGTAACTCTGAGTTTGTTAACCATTTTGTTTAATAATAAGATAAGTTGTTGGTTTTATTTATTTAAATGGCAATTTCACCACTTAATTGACCAAACATAGTTGAACCAGAAGGAAACGTGGCTTTTTTTTTATGTCAAATTACCCATTCTTATTTAGTTGTCTCTATAAATTAATAGCATATTTCAAAACATTACGAGTACACTCTGAGCAGGTGTATGTATCATTTTAACATAAGAAAATGGTGGAACAATACATTAAACTAAAAGTTACCAAGCAGCAGCAAATAATTGTGTATTTTTGTATTTGTTTCATACGAAGAAAGTCAACACCATTTTTTTTTTTTTAACTAATTTCCATTTATCATTGTTTATTTTATTTCTGTACAGGAGATTCCCCTCGTTAGTTTTAATCAGTAACTATTAACATATTATTTCTATATGGGGTGAAATGTCTAATATTGGTGAAATAAAATGGAATAAATTAACTAACCTTGGTTGTAATTTAGTTTTGCTAAAAAGTATTTTTAAGCATTTTAGGAGTTTTGTAAGTACTTAAATATTGCTTTATTTCTTCTCATATTTATTGTAATATTGTGTGAAAGCATTTTCATAAGGTTTTTTTATTGTTTGAATTTCTGCTGTTTATTAGGACAAAACAAATCCATATGAAATTATATTGCATTTGTTTTAATTCAGAAAATGTTTCAGTCCATTACTTGTGAGTTGAGACTTTGTAGAATATTTGGCCAAAACCTAAACTAATCTCTAGGTTATAAAAATTGTTGTGATTTGTAGCTACTAAAACAAGAATTCATCTTTAATCCTTCTACTACGGGTGGGTGGAATCCACCCAGCTCGTATTCCCCAAAGTAACCATAAAGCAGTTATACTGTAACTTTTTAAAATGTACAAGTATCTTCACAAAATTTTGCAGATTATCAATAAACATTACAAGGCGTTTGTTCACAAAGTATCAGATTTTAAGATTAAGCTTTAACCTTTTTTTACTTAATTATTTGATTATGCATTTTTTAATTTTCAAATGTTGACTATCCAACATGCAAAGTAATTTTGATTTTAAGATTAAAAATACTTTTATGCATCAAAAAATTGTCAAATTTCACATACAAAATCTCTATAACCTCCAGATAATTATCAAACGTTTTTTTTAGAAAAATACTTTACATTTTATCTGTTATTTTTACTATTGTATTACTGTATGGGTTTAGTTGAATCAACCACCCTTGTAACCATCATAGAAAATAGGAAATAAATATAAAATAGACTTTTTTATCATTCTAGAATTACTACAGATTATAAGACGAAACCACAAATGTTTAGTCTAAATAGCTTAAATCTCATAACGTTATACATATATAAAAATTTATTATTCTTGTTATATTGACTTTTAAGCAGTGTCTGACTAACATTACAGAAGTTGAATGAAGTGAAGCATGTGCACTCATGTTACCATGTCAAATAATGTAAAACTGGTCTTGGCTGTGTTCTGGTGACAAATAATTTATAGAATAGTCACATTGTGAATACAAGCTGAAATACCTGTCAACTAACAGGTAATGTTTGAGTTTAAAAGCAATCATATGTTTCAAAGTAATAACTTGAACATAAACTTTATATCAAAATTTTAAAATTATAACAAAGCTTCTTCATAAACATTTGCAGTTTCTTTTCATCTACCAACAAATAAAGATTTTGAGATGATCCCACCCTTGAACACCCAAAATCTCATTGACTATGGGAAATCATGGTTATTTGAGAAACAATGCAGCAACTTTCGTACTTTGACCTTGAATCCCATTAGAATATTCAACATTGTCTGAAGCATCAACCTGCCAAAATTGTTTGAGATTGGCTCAATAGGCTGGGACAAATTAAGCAACAGCCTTTACAAAATAGAAATAGGGTTAAGTTAAATTTTGACCCCCTTAGGTCATTCCCGACAGTACATAATGTTTACATATAAATTTTAGTTGAGATTGGCCAATAGGCTCGGAGGAGTTTGGTTGCAAACAAACATACATTTCATCTTTATATATTTAAATTTCAGTTATTTTTCTTAAAACATAGAACAGTAAATAAAGAAGTATAGAAAACAATTATCTCTTCTAGTTACAAACTTTGTACTCGTTTGCTGCTTGCCATAATTTCCTAAGCCGTATCAAGTTTCGCATATAGAGGATGTAAAACAAAATAATCTTTTTTGGGTTTTATAAATGCATTTTGAAATAATAAAAAATCATAAATTACTATGTCTATACCACAAAATTTCACTATAATTTATCAAGTTTAATAACTAATCTGTATTTGTGTCTAAAAAAATATGAAATTTCAAACTCAGTAATGTCTTAACTTACCACTTGGTATGTACCATGAAAAGAAAGGGTTTCCCTCATAAATAGTTTGCAAGGGCTCAGAGAACCATGTGGGGAATATTCTGAGCTTTCGACTGGTTATTCACACATCATAAACAGAAATAGGTGTATGTAAGCATTTCCCAAAATGGAAAGAGGTGGGTGGGGTCACTGTGTTTGATTTACTAAATGTAGCGATAGCTTATCAATATCAGTAATTTAAGTTCCTAATATATAAGAAACTATAGACTTTGCATTTAGACATCACAAACATCTAATCTGAACCAATGCTGCATTCAACATACCACGTGACACACAAAAACTGGTATTTAGGATTTTTTTTAATATTTACTTTTAAATTAAGTAATGTATAATACTAAAATTTAAATTATAATCTACAATTTGATACCAAGCTTATTGACATACATTCATGAAATAGTAGTTCAATAAAATTTTGAATGTAAGCCTACAAACGTGATGACATGACCCGTGACCATACGAAGACTCATCTCAGTCAGGTTAAATAGTGGCTCGCTCAGTAGTTAGAAGACTTTGTGTGTAGATAAATATTGAAGAAAGTGTAATGAGTCCTTTAGTAACTTTGTCATTTTTTTTTTTTTCTGACAAAAATATCCTGTCATTATTTCCATCATAAATACAGTTTAGCTTTGTAGAATTTGTTTGATAGCAAGTTAAAAACAGGAAAAATTACACTTATGGTTAGCACAGCTGTAAGGTTAACTCTCTGAACATGGGCTTGATCAATTTGATCGACCATGTGACCTTTTTGTTTTCTTTCAAAGTCTTTATAGATTTGATATGACAAACTTTTAATATTGTGTGTATATCATCAAGTTTTTTGTATGTGAAAGACTTGTAATGTTTACTGAAAGACTGACAAATTTCAATTTTTTTTTGGTAGTTACAAGGTCAGTCAAATTGACCAACCATGTATACAGTTAGGGTAGAGAATATAACAGATAAAATATAAAGTTTTACTGAAAACAAACATTTGAAATGTATTTAGGAGGGTTTAGAGATTACACAAATGAAATTTGAGTATAGTATTTTGAGATAAAGAAAAGTATTTTTAATCTTAAGAAAACAATCACTCTGCACACGGACTATTTAAAACAAGTATTCAATATATTCAAGGACAAATCTTTTTTTAGTTTATTAAAAACACTTCAGTAAAAAATATGAAAATAAATCTAAATTACCCTTTTTTCTTTCTAGAATGACTTCAAATGTAACATGAAACATCTTTCGTTTATCCTAAATAGCTTTAAACTGATAACAGCATACATCTAATTATAATTAAATTTTATTGTTTTATTGCCCTTTGAACTGTGTCTAACTACTATTCGCACCATTATAAGTTATAAAGCACTTGGGGAACGTGCTGCTCACGTTATGCTTACCTTACCCATGAGCTACTCCGAGCTGCTCACATGTGTGCCTCATGAAATATTTTTAGTATATTATTATTATTAATTATTTTACCCAATCTAACCTTAACTAACTTAAAGAAATCCCAATTTTTACATTTTAGTTACTTTTATAATGATAAATAAAGAATAAACTTGAAAAACAAAAAAATAAAATACTTACACGTGTATTCTTTTCTTTTTTTTTGCTGTAGACTATCAGTGACACTTAACCCTAGTTTTTTTCTACTAATGGTAGTAGTGCATTAAATAATTTTTATTTAAAATAAATAATGCTCTGAAGAACATAGAATAATAACATGCAACAATCCTCTATGAATCACAATTTTTCTGGCTTTCTAATTATGTGGCAAGTTAAGAGGCGTTACAAATTCATTCAAGCTAGTTGTTACCTTTCCAGTGGGAACAAAGCCTGTACTACAAGTGAAATTGATGATTATCCGTTCAGAACACAATATAATGTGATGTGTCATTTGATAGATGAAAACCTTGGCTTTCTATTGGTTATAGGTAATATATAATTAAACATAATAGAGAACTATTAACAAATCCTGAAAGAAAGGATGTGATAGGTGGGTGTGGCAGGAGGGGTCTGATTTTCTGTTTGATAACTCTATAACCAAAAAGACTAT